CCCTATCCACTGCAAACGAACATAGCTATGCATTGGACGCTGGAAAACGCTACACTAGAGGAGCCAGTTATTGTCACCGCCCACGATGAATGCATTACCATGCTAACTCCAAGACATTTAGTTTAGCTTGTACTTGCGCACATAGCCAGCCAGTCATATCTTCTCCCTATTCGGTGTCTATTTATGACACCGTTAGAAGCACTGCATTTTGAGGCAAAACGTTCATTAATATCTTCCCGCGAATTCTCGCGGTATTAGAAGTATCCCAAGCCATCCTATAACACCGATACACCGCGGGCCCCACGATACCGCGCTTCCAAAATTATCATCATACCGTTTGCCAGATGGGTATAGATCATGATTCCATGCGATCTCCTGGCATGGTCTTGTTCCGTATTTCCAAGTTCTGGTGGCTTTACTGCTCAACGTCCAACCAGTCCGGGTGGTCTTTGGCTCTCCAAGGCTTTATTCCCTTTGGATTGGCCTCACGACTCTTCTTAGCCTGCTCTAGGACCCGCTTACTCTCCTCACTGTTGTACAGCGTGCTAAAATCTTTGATCTGTCGCCGCGCAGTTTCTATGGATTCCATGAAACATTGATACAGCTGATCAGCTATTCATTCGTCAGTCTCATTATCCTTTCTTGACATCAGGAAATTCGTACGTGTTACATCGTCGGGGAGCGACTCGAGCATTTGTTGGATTATTGTTCGCAACTCCCTGCACTACCGGAAACAAATTAATACTCCAGTTCCAAAACTACACCAAGGAGTAAAGTTGAGTAGTGTTCACATACCCTCACATGAAGAAGGTCCAAATGTTTTAGACCCTTCTCGAGTTGTTCCTCGTCTGGATTTGTTTCCTTCTCATGGCCCACGAAGCCAACACCTCCTTTCTTCATCTGGGGCTGATTCCCAGCCATCGTTCCGATATTGTCGTATTAAGCCCACATGTTCCAGAAAGAATGCGTAAAGATGGAAGAATGGGGGGGCGTCGCAACCAATTGTATCCAGGAAGTAGAAGATGAAAATGCGAATGGGCAGTGGCAGAGAAAAACAAAAGCTTAATTCTGGTGAAGCTGATCGCGTCCGTTGAATATAGGTAGGTACTTAGTACCCATGAAAGTCTGAGGTCTTCAGTGGACAATGCGCCATGATGTGTGTGTTTGCACATGCACAAGCACCCTGAGGTCCATATGTATGTATGTACCTACCTGGTACCATCATACCTAGATCAATATCTGTAGATACCTTAGGTACTGTACCAGACTGCCTGCCAGGTCTACTGTACATAGGTACATACATAGGTACTTGCCCTACCAGCATCAATTGATCGACAGCTGCTGATTATCTACTGAGCACCCCACTTCTCAAATAATTACATAATCAAAGCACAGTGTCACCAGCCCCCGACAGTGCAAGTGCAGCTCAAGCCACTTGCCTACCAAAACTTTCTCTCAAGCCAGACCGTCCCAGTCCTCTTTGACCTCTCCCACACAAAATCATCTCTCCCACATCGTGTCTCGCACGGCTGTTCTACAGCACAACATACAAACTCACACGGTGACTGCATTGTGACCCCAGCGTGGTCGGATAATCGTTGCGCCTATTCAGACCACCGTGCGATTAATACCGCAAGCCAACCGCATTGCCTCACCGTGCCACCAGATACACGTCTCAATAGCGTGTCCAATACAGTGGGAAGCCTCAACACCACGACGCACACAGTATTGGCCCCCCGCCCGAGCACAGCCGAGATCTCGCGATACCCTCACCTCCCTCCTCCATTTTCCCCCAGTAATCCCGACACAACCGCCACAATTTCACTCCAACAGACCCCCCACCACCCTGCCGTCGCGGCGGGTGTCGTCGTCAACGGCAGCGCGAGCAACCTGAGCACCCCGCGCCAGGTGCCGACGACGACCCCAGCGACCCCGGTCACCATGCCGCCCGGCGAGCCCGGCGCCCTGGCTCCTCCCCCCGAAGGCATATACCGAAGCTTCGAGGACTTGCTCACCGCCGTGCAGCGAGTCGCCAAGGACCAGGGTTATGGTGTGGTTAAATTGCGTGCCAGCAATTACCGTGACGGCAAGCCGACGCGTTACGACTTGGTCTGCGATCGCGGTGGCGTCAAGTACAACAGTACTGCCAAGAAGCGCAACCCCAGCACGCGTAAGGTCGATTGTCCCTGGCGAGCCAAGGCTGTCTGCGAAGTCCAATTGGGAAACCAATGGCGCTTTGCCGTGCAAGACTCCCGACATAACCACGAGGCACGTGTCCCTGCAGCGCCCCCGGGACAAGAGAATACCCCAATTGCGCAGAGCATCCGGAGCATGATACACAAGATGGACCGCATCAGCCACGACATGTCCCAAGGCTTCATGCGCATGGAGCAGCATCTGGAGCGCATGGACAAAAGACTCGAAGCTATGGAGTCACGCATGAACACCTTCGAGGCACGGATGTCCGGTATGGAAACGAGAGGAACCATGGAGGTAGGACCTATGGACAACATGGAGATGGAAGGATCAATGCTCGGCCCGCCCGTCATGTAGCACCATGACGGCCCCAACCAGCCTGACCAATATTCCGGCAACTTCGATGGGATTAAACTCCTAGCTCCGGGTGAGATTTCCACTCAATACATGGTGGAACTACCCAATTAATCCAGACAGAGAGGCTTAATGCGATATCCGGCCGTTTCACCCATGGAGTCCACAGGCGATGAGAATGTGAGGAAGGGCAGAAAAGACGGAAAAATAATGCTTTTTCGGCGTTGCTCAGGGCTTGGGCTAGTGGTGTGTATCTATGCCGCAGCGATGCAATCGTGGTCATGGAACTTTGACTACTACTACTACTACTATTACAGGAGGGCAAAACAGGGTTTTTTCGTCTCAGGACTTCAAGGCGTATGGCAAGTGTGCGATAACAATTTCTTTTCGGTGGCTTCTGGTCCAGGAAATACAGCGAGGCAAGGGCGGGTGATCTATTCTTTTTTTTTTACAAAAGCGAGTATAGGTGGCGGCAGCTTTGTCACAGCGACTTCAATAGTGCCTTTGAGGGCCCAACTTCTTTCTTAAATTCTCCTTCTCAGCGTGTATTCAATGGCGTGTGGGGGTTAATCTTCCCTGGGACGATCTATTAGGCGTGAGGACGAGGACATGTGTTAGTTGCCAAGACGGATCGTGGATCACGAGATACTACGCGTCGGGGAGGTGTATTTGCCATGGGCGGTCAAATCTCACTTGCGTAGGGCTACACGAATCAATCTGTATATGTGCAATCCGAGCGATCTGAAATGTTCAGCGTGATCATGAGCTTCCTATCGCCAAGACGGCTGTCCCAGATATTCCTGGGATAACATTCTCATCCGATAAGATACTTCCACTTCACCTAATCCACAGATCAACTCGAGTAGCAAACAGTATTGATAAATAGTATTAGAAGTGTGACTGCCGTGTAGAAATCATGAACCTTTACGGGGCCTGCCGGCAAAGCAAAGCACCACATCATCTCATCCTCACATCCTAAGTCGGTCTCAGCTAAGTAGAAGCAACATAATCATTACATATTACCGGCCGCCTCACGATCATTTCCCTCTCTAATATTTCTAGCTTTATTTGCATACCTAAGTAACCTTAAGACCTCCTGCCACAGCTTACCAGGTACAGAGTGGATGCAAATCTCTTAATTTATTGGTTTTACCATTACCAATGCCATATATAAAGTTTCACATAGCCTCGACTGAGTCACGCCTTACAGTAGAGCCTAGGTAGCCGGATATTAAATAGCATTAATGGACGTTAGAAGATTGTGCCAATAAAGTGTAGATCTCGATTGTGCCTACCATTCCCAGAGGGTTTACCACGCCTATTTCAAAGAGATTGGAAATATGCTCCCTTAAATATTAGCAATACTACCGCAGTACCGCAACATTGTTGCATGATGATGGAAGAATAATTGATATATGACGAAAGTAAAGGACTTTCCATGGCTGCAGTGTTAGCTCTTTAGTACCCTATGCCGCATGAATAGCAAGTCAGATCTCTAGAATTAGGAAATAAGAGATCAAGTCAACTTGAGTAAAGGAAACTCAGGGAGAGTATTAGGTAACTATATTAACTTTTTTATATAAGATTTTACAAAGTATAATAGCCGGTTACACAAATGCATAACGCAGTATATTGAAGTCGGCGTACTGGAAGAGATCAAGTACACCAAATATACCTACTTCTTACTGGAAGAACCTGTTTCATTACTTATCCTCCCCCCTTTTCCAAATGATGCCGTTGCCTATCCTCAAACTCCTACCTCTTACATTTCTTTAGCCTATATTACCCATTTACGTTTCCGCCCCTATCGCCCTCGGTCTTTATGTTCGTTTCCTATTGGTCATCCAGCCAGCTATAGACACATAATTTTAGTGGTATGACTATGACTGCCCATAGCAGTACATTATAATCGCTCTGAGACAAAGTTACATGTTAATATTGATGTTCTTAGCTTTGTACGGAGAACACATACTGGGCTGCTAGGGACCTCACGAAAACAATTAGGAGCTCTACAAGCTTAGCTTTGACCTCATCGGGCGCTGTGTTTTGATTGGTCACAAAGCCCAGTCTCGACCCCAAACAGGAAAGAGGTGGTAATAGAAGACATAAAGCCCTAGCTTGAACATTTTCTCGATTATAATCGAAATTGTGATCTCACCATCTTTTTTATTCCTTACGTAGTCGGAATAATCATTAGGCATCGAAAGTAATCATTCCAAAGAGTCAAGCCTGGAACTACGGGGTTTAAACACAATATCAGCATTACAAACAGCAGACGACGCTGAGATAACTGTACAAATTTCCCAAGTCAACGTTCCGATAGATCACCACCTCGAATACAACTCCAATCCATCCGCCATTCAGTCGTCATTCCTACCCCGGTGGCTTTGCGATTCTTCCCACCTCTACGGAAGACCTCAGTGCGGGGTCATCGGAAAAGAAAAAGATGTTGATGAAAGTGGGACTCGAACCCACGCGGATTGCTCCACTGCGATATTTATTTGATATTTTTTCTTAATTCAGGTAGACCTGAACGCAGCGCCATAACCACTCGGCCATCTCACCAAGTGCTCACTGTTTAATACCGTGAGGCTTGAATGAAGAGTACTGTGCGTTATACCCGTCTATCAGAGAACGACCTAAACCAGTAAGGTCTCCGAAGTGGACCCTCCGAATATCACTGTCCAAACCCGAACGTGGAGCCATATAACTGTTGTCCAGTGATGAGGCAACAGCTTAGACATTATATCACCCTCTAATTATACAAAACTAATCCAGCCAAATTATAATGCAGTATCAACAAGTAGTTGTGTCAGGCGAAGAACCATTTCTAACGCCACATTTGGTTCTCCATATATATCCTAACCTTCACGAACCGCCAGTCCAGTCCCGACTCTCGAGTAGGCCTTTTTCCCTCCTTTTTGCATGCGCTTGGGAAAGATAGCTTCGTACACAGATATCAAGTTGAAACTGTAATATTAAACCTTCTTACCTATAATCCTACTAAATATGCTGAGTATGGTCCACACCGTCCGGCCATAGACACCAGCGTCTCCAACTTCGCTGGCAACGAAAGTGTATCATCGTGCTCTCTTCTCTCCGGTAGACTATGTATGCGTAGTGATAGTTACTTTTGCCCGTATTGAACTCCATGATGTTATCGTTATCGTAATTCCCTAAATTTATATCGGTGTCCTGGGCACTTAGAGGGTTTCTCACATATACGCTCAGCGGGGGTAAACGCGCTCTAGAAGGAGTGTTGGACTTGTAGGTGGACGCTCCATGCAGATGCAAGTTCTCGCTACTAGAGAATGAGATCTGGCAGCCGACTTACAGAGGTTCTCAATCAGACGAAACATTTGAGCTGATGCATGGGTAGCTATTCATGAATAACCTAAGACGGCGAGATATAACTCGTAGCGTGCACTCTAGCATGTCTACTGTCACGGCATCGCACCAGCGTACCCGTCACACTGGACCCGTGCTTTATACCGCTGCGCCACCAGGGTAAAAGACCAGAATCTAAAGGTTGTAAGCCTTTAGACTATTAGGGTATATATACCGTAACATCTACCTAGTTATAAATAAGAGATGAGTCTACTCTAAAGTAAGGCAGCATTAGGGGATCGATAGACTCCCATAGCTATATGTACCTTCTTTCCATCCTGGTAAGCATAAGCCCCTGGCATTTTCAGTCTTTTTCGACAATTTTTTCTTTCTTTCGAAGAATTGGATATTATCAAGATTACTATACGCAGATTAGTTAATATCAATACTAACCAACAGAGATTAAAATGACTATAGAAATTATTCTAAATACCAGTTCTTTCAAACTATAATCATTAAGAATATAGATCCATGATAGACCGTCTTCTACGCCATACTGAGTTCTTTCTCGTCTATAGAGAGCTAAGAAGTCAAATGTCTATAATAGCTGAGTCGCAGGATTCTAATTGGTTGATATAGTTGCATGTGCTGGCTATGTGGTCTTTAGGGTTTAGAACATAAAAAGCCGACATCTTAGATAGAGATGGGTTCCAGGGATGATGGAACACTCGGCCTTGGCCAATTAGCGCAACAGAACATTCGACCCAATAGTACTGCCAAGAACCATTGCTAGCGCAAATTATTCCAATTCGATATGAACATTCGGTGTTCTTTGAGATGAAACGGACTTCTTATGTAACATATTCGAGGAAAACTTACCTCCTAGTTTCGTTGGTGGGTTTTGGTAGGAGGCGCGACATGAAACACGGCGGACACATCTGAAGTCGCAAATCAGGGGCACACGTCAATACGATCTATTATTAATCGGTCGATGGCGCAATGGAACGATGTAATAGCTTAGATTTTGGTTCTTTTTTCGTTTTCTTTTCACAATCGCGACCGTTCACTGTACATACTTCATCATCTTCAATTCTTGTCTATCATTTAGCTTTCGGGTTTGACACCCGGTACTCTAATTCGCAAACTCGTTTAATAAAGATTGGCTTCCTGGCGAAGACAAGATGAAAGATTCGCGCAGGCCGTCCGAGTATCGACACCTCGACCTTGAGTCCCAAGACGACTCGAGCTCGAGCACCGACGTCGAGGAGACGCTCGACCTGAATGAGAAGGACTACATGCAGACGTCAGCGCCATCACAAAAAGGGGGCTTCTTATCGGCACTCAAGACACATCGATGGCTCATCGACACATTCCTACTGGTCGTCATCCTATTTCTACTACTAGAAAAACAGCTGACGCATCATCATGGAAAAGACCACTATTTTGAGGGAGGAGGGGACTTGACGGGGTTTGCGCCGGAATGTTCGTTTGTATTTCCCGAGCTTTAAGACAGTATTAGGTGCTGATGTTCGTTTGCTTGTTATTGTTAGTCTCGCAGCAGGTCACGACATTCTCCCCGGATCCCGGGTTCGTGCCGGAGAACACATCCGAGTTCTTCTCCAGAGAGACGAAAAAGAAGTGGCTTGATCTCGTGCCGAGTAAGTACATGCGGTCGGTCAAGCACCATCGTAACTTTCATTTGGCTAAGCGCGCGCAACAGAGGGTCTCGGCTACCTTGAGATTAAAAACCCCGAGGACTACGATAACCTGCCGACACGGCTCGACTCGTATGATGAGCAATTCGTCGTCACCTCGTCCATGACGCACCAGCTTCACTGTCTCGTATGTATTTGTCTGTGCCCGAGAAGCTAGGAGTCCGTTGCTAATATGGGGGGCAGTACGCCATTGCCGAGGCTTACTCGGCGCTCACATCAGACACTAGCAGAGTACCGAAGGAGACGCCGTGGCATTTGACCCATTGCTTTGACTACTTAAGGCAGGGCATTATGTGCTGCGGCGACGTCGCTCTCGAGGGCGAGCAGACCACCTTCCCGGACGGGTTTGAGGGGAGTGACGGGTGGGATGCGAAGCATGTCTGCAAAGACTATAGCCAGGTATACGACTACCTAGAGACGAACAGGGCGGATAACAAGGCGTGGATATGAGATTCGATCTAACATGCGTGCGACTCTCGATAAACTCGTCTTCGAATTTACCGACGGTGGCTCTCTCATTTCCCATTGATGCTGAGAGAAGTCAAGGGATCTACAGGAATACTTGATGAGATCCCACCCTGGCTCTTCGTTGTACTAGAGATATTGATATAGTGAGCTCCCCAATACTAACGAGGAATTAATCAGGTATCGTTTCTTATCGCCCGCGTTGACCGGATCCTCGTCGATATCCAGTGTCGATTTTCCGTTTGGGATTGGTGACTCTGATCTTTGACCGTGTACCTAGCTTGTGGGGGGTCTAGCGCAATCTCATATTCAGGCGATCTTACAGTTTTTCTCCTCAATGCCCCCTAAGACGGACGTAATTGCCCACGTAAATCATGTGTTGGTTCGCGGTAATGTGAAAGCGTGTTGCTGGTACACCCACTGCCTAACAATACCATAATATCTTAAACAAGCCTCTCGTTAACCTAATCGGGTTGAGTGAGCTATCTACGTTCGAGATAACCAGGATATTCGAGCCCAATGAATCTAGGTATTAAGCGTTTGTTCAAGTGATAAGTGGATAGATAGTCTGGTTTACGATATACTTGTGCTGAACTGAGACGGGGTAGACATCTTGCAAATTCTAATATGCGACAGTTGGTCAGCCTCGAAGGTCGGCCGGAACGAGCGTTTAAGTGCGATGTTCTCTCTGTACAGTGCACAAGACATTGGGATTGTGGCAGTGCTTAATGTGGCTGAGGCATTGAATGGCATGATGTACATGAGGCATGTACCCATGTACATATGCTCATGGATGTATCTAGGTACCGAGTCGGTACCGAGTCGGCACGAAGGGCTTGCCCTAAACCCGCCGAGAATTTCGGGGAACGGTCATCAGCCCGCCCACCACCAAACCACAAAATATTTCCCACTCCTCAGCCCCGATCACACAGCACGACAACCTCGACTCCTCAAGACACCCTTTTTTTCTCAGCTCAGTCACAACAAGTCAAGACAACAAGTTGCCCAAAATGACTGGCGGAGTCACTGTTCGCGATGTCGATGTAGGTACCCTCAATTGGCACACACGATTCTGAAGACACCAAAAAAGGATCTCTGTCTCCCTCTCTCTCTCTATCTCGAAAAGCAACTGCGCTACGGTGGATTACCACGATATCATCTCGAGGAAACACCAAGATGGCAGGACGTGAAGAAAGAGATAAAAGAGGAGGATGAAGAAGAAGAAGAGAATCCATGAGAATCAGAGGAGCAGGCGTGAGGGAGTCGCAAGACTTCTGACGACGGAATAATGCTGATGGTCTTTTTTCTCCCCACTGCAGGCGCAAAAGTTCATCGACGCATATGCTGCCTTCCTGAAGAGGCAGGGCAAGCTGCCCGTTCCCGGTACGTTTTTTTTTTTTTTTCCCAACACATACAGCATGCCCGCCCGACTTTGCTTCTTGTTAAGTTTTAACGTGTGATTGACTTTACGACCACAGGTTGGGTCGACACCGTCAAGACCGGTCCCTCGCGGGAGCTGCCCCCCCAGTCCCCCGACTGGTGGTACATCCGCGCCGCCAGCGTCGCCCGCCACGTCTACCTGCGCAAGACGGTCGGTGTCGGCCGCATCCGCAAGGTCCACGGCACCGCCAAGAACCGCGGCGTGCGTCCCTCGAAGCACGTCGACGCCAGCGCCAGCGTCGACCGCAAGATCATGCAGGCCCTCGAGAAGATCGGTGTCCTCGAGCAGGACGAGGAGAAGGGCGGCCGAAGAATCACCCAGTCCGGCCAGCGGGATTTGGACCGTACGACTTCCCCCTTCCCCCCCCCTTTCTTCCCTCTTCTACCTATCTGAAGCTGCACGCGGAAACATGTTGGAATAATGCTAACAAGCCACCCAACAGGAATTGCCCAGACCACCGCTGAGGCGGACGAGGAAGATGAGGACGACGAGTAAACTTGATGCCAAATGCGCGATGATCTACATGCACGGTCTAGATAGCATAGGGTTCTCACGGTAATGGCGTCTGAAAAAATGGATGGCTGAATTGACTGGCGAACGAAGCATTCGCATTTCCT